AAAAACTGAAGAGTCCCTGCCCGAAGGGCTACCAGGGATTTTGAAAATTTGCGAGCCCTGAGATGAGTTGATGTGTTGAGAAAGCCTGTCTTTAAATGGGGAGCAAGGCAATGGCCTGGGCCTTTATTATTTGTGGGATTTCAAAAGTTGTTGTTCAATAATATGTATTAGTTCAGATTAAGTGGCAGTCTGATACCTGCACTGTAATCTTCCTAAAACGCTCAAGAATAACTAGAGTTTATGAGGCTGACCCTTATACAGATATGCATTAGTTTTCTTACAGCCCATGGACCACCTACGTAAATTTAGTAACTGCTAATGTTCCCTTTGTTCTCAGTTTGAATCTGTTTTCCATTTCCTGAATAATAAAAAACATTTAGTCACACAGTTATATTTATTTTCTTTTACATACGACCACACTAGTACATGTGGCTCACTGACTGGGACGGTATCCTGAAAAAATAAGTGCAGTGGACCTGGGTCATCTCCTGAAGGGATTCCAGCATATTGGCTTTGATAGCAATAAAGTCAGGTGTCCGAGGCAGCAGATGAAAGGATGGTTGTCATAAGTTATTAGTACAAGGGGCAGTAGGAGGATTAATGGAATGGATTGTTTCAAATTTAATGTCTGTTACAGGTTTTGTTTGTATTCAAACCACTTTTGTTATCATATTCCGTATTTCTACTTGAATTTTTGTCGTGTTTTTTAGGGCTACGACTAATCACACTTGATTGAATTTTGGCAGTCATTCATTTAGTGTGTTCCGTGTCAAAAACTAGTTACGTTTTCACAATTCTGCAGAGCAAATGTATGTATTATATTGGCTAATATTGGCTTAGTTGACTGGTGTCGGTTTTTTGGCAAGTAGCATGACATTTAATCAGAGACGGTGAGCAATTTTAATCTGTTGGGTCACATCTATTTTGTGATTCCTAAATCAGACATGGGGAGACCTTGTCCAAAAAGAGTCAGCAGCAAGATACATAAGTCAGTCATATTGAGGTTCAGCTTCAGCTGTGCAGTGACAGGCCTATTTCTTGTTATTGTAATAAACAGTGTTGTGAAAAAGTCTATATCCATACTGGTTTACTATTTTTTTTGTATGTTTGTCACAATGAAATGTTTTAGATCATCAAACAAATTAAATAAGATAACACAAATGTAAACAAAAGGTCTAATGTCACACTTTTTCACACAGGGCTATATAGGTTTGATTTTTTTTCTCCCTTAATAATAAACACATTCATAATGTAGCATAAGCGTATGCTTTAAAAACTTTTTTGTGGCTGCTTACTAGTTCTTTAAATGAATCAGCGTCTTCAATGGTCTCATGGGATTAGCATCTCCGCTCATCACGCTGACACTGGTTTGAGCCGTCATCTTGTGAATCTGTGCACATGCATAGTGGAAGTTTTAAAGTTTTTAATTGAGCAGTTCTATATATGCACGTTTTATGTTCCTCTAACCACTGACATGAAAGTTATGCCTGAGTATAAATGGAGCCTTCAAAATACCTGACCTTTTATTTGATGCCTGTCAAGTAGAGGTACTTACTTTGAAATATGTGGGGTCAAAACCTCCCAGCACAAAGGTCAAGTCTGCCCCACCTGATACCTTTGGGAAGTCAGTAACTCCAGTTTATCAATAAAATCAGCTTGAGATGCTCCTGTTGTTGAGATCATGGCAATACAATACAGGATTGAAAATGTGGTGTGACCTAATGATAAATTATGAGTATATGCTTGTGTCTTACTTTCACATAATGCATTTCTTTCTTTGATCGCACTCTCTTCTAATTCATAATTTATTAATACCCTTTTTCTCTTGTAGCCTGCAAATTGCTTGGTTGATGGCTTTTCCATTTTACTTCAGGAAGTGTCTCTTGATTCGTGTTCTCAGAATGACTCATCATTATCATGGATCCATTTTTTAATTTATTTTTTTATTTTTTTAAATTAGATAAATGGTAAAGTGAACAAGGTCACAATGTTTACAAGACCCCAGCAACGTGGGCTAGTCCCTCCTGTAATTTTAATCCCCTCGCATATAATCCCGCCTCTTCTGCCATTTCCATTCTTTTCATGACCCCTCCCTCTGTTTTTCCGCTCTCTCTCACTGTCCTCTCTCATCCCACTTATTCCACCTTACGGCTGATGGAGCATTAAGCCTGAATGCTGTGGGCAGCCATTGCTTCAGATTCAGAGCGTGCACTTGAGTGAGCCACTGCTGCGCGAGTTCCTCCCCTGGTCTTTCACATTCTTGCTGTTTCTGGATAATCAGGAATTACTTGCTTGAACTGGCCAGTTTCTGTTGTTATTGTGTAGAAGTGGGGGTTCATTGTTCCCCATGACGTTACCCCTTTAACTGTGGATATCTTGAGCATGGTCTTGTGGATGCCCTCTCCAAATTAACCACAGCTTTTTGGTGCTCTAATTTGGAGGACATCGGATGGACATTTTCTGGATTTGGATATTTTTGAATGATTCCACGACGAGACACAGTGGATAAGATGGTGCCCCTACAAAAAAGGGTAGTTATGTGTGCAGAGGAGGAGAGGAGGGTTTTGTGTGCATGATGTGGGTGCAGCTACGTATGCTTATTGTTTTCTGTTTTGTGGCCTGAATGCTGGATGTCTGTAATAATTTTCATAATGAAGTAAATATTGTTAATTGCTTTAATTGGAACATGGCGTCTCAGAGTGAGCATGTGCTTGGGCGATAACAACAAGCAGTGGATGGGTGTCTGAAAGTATAGACTTTAGGATTGATGAGGCAGAGTTTAATTTCAGTAAAAATGTGTAAATCTGTTGATTTCATCTTCTGCTGAGTGGCTCGTTGATGAGGAGTGATTGCTCATTGAAACTGACTAACAATGCAGAGTGCAAAGCTACCCCTCACCCCCACCCTTCTCACTCCATTGTTTTTGCTTGAGTAGCAGTTAATTGTGTGAAGGCTTGTTCAAAGGTGTGCAAGAAATTTTGATCACACTCTAGACAACATTTTGTGGCTTCAGTAAAGCTAGAAATATATTTTCCTGAAGTGTTTGAATATTTTGCACTTCTAACAAATAAGCCAGTTTAACACACCTTCTCATAGGCTACAATACACCTCTTAAACTTTTCATCACCACAACCACTTCCTGTGTCTAGGGTAAGAAAGCGCACTTTGTGGAGGATGTTCTAAAGTGCCCTGCATGGTTTGCGTTGAGAATTAGAAAGAACTTTTTGCACTGTGCTTAAGAGCAATTATCCGCACTCAGGAAGACTACCGACATGTTAGAAGAGAGGATGGGAGATTGTTGGAGCCGCACTAAGGTTGTCCGTGTCTTTTTTGTTGTTCATCTTTGGAATTATTTTGTAATTCTCTTGGAATTAAGCACACGATTGTTAGTGAAACTTTGCACGTATGTAAATCAATATTCCAGATGAAGGCTTTTCTTTTTTGAAGTGATGAATTTCAAGACGTGACCTCAGCCAACTAAAGGCTCATTTTTTCCTCACAAGTCATGAACGAATCATGAAGAATGAGTTCAGTCTGAACAGCTGTGTTTGGTTATCAGTAGTGAGGATTGCTGCTGCTGCTGCTGCCTGTTTTTACTATGAGCTCTACTTTTTCTCTGTGACAGACCACAATTTGAAATTAAATTAAGAGTAGCAAGGGGAAACTTGCTGGAAAATGACTCGGTGTCAGGAGGACAGTTGCAGGCTTATTCCAGGAAACACGTCCTTTGAAGAGTTTAAATCACAATTTAGGTTGTTTGAGTTCAATTACTCAGAATAAACCAATGCGTGGCCTGTGGGAAGCCAGATGAGCAGTAGTCTACAAATAGAAGTTAAATTTTAATAAACTTAATGATTAGCATGAGCAGTGCTCAACTGCAAAGGTCTTTGGTGAAAATGCAAGTGGGCCAGAGTAAGTGAGCAAAAGATCGACAGTAGGTCCCTTGCAGTGCCGTCATTGAACTGATTGAATCGTTTGTAATGCTTAACTTTCTTATTACAGTGTAAATGGCATTACAGAGTGCTTTATTTTCCTTCTTGAATGATGTAATCACCGTCTTCTTCTTTTCTGCAGGATCAGTTTGACAACTTGGAAAAGCATACACAGTGGGGGATCGAGTTTGTGGAAAAGTACACCAAATTTGTCAAGGAGAGATCAGAAATTGAAACCAACTATGCAAAACAGATTAGGTGAGTATTTAAGTTTACTCAGAATCACATTGTGGGTTGCAGAAGCAGTTGTAATAATGGTGAATGTTTTCCTCTTGATGACATAGATAAAAAAGACACACACAGAAACAGACACTACAGCAGGATTTGACCTACCGAAGTGCCCTTGAGACTGAATCTTAAACACCACATTTTGAAGCTGACCTTGACCTCTGGCCTCCCATAGGAAGAGGAGACTAAATGAACAATTCGATGTGGGAAACCGTGCATTGGAATACAAGTTATCAAGAAATTCTCTTATTTTCACAGCAGTGTTGTTGTTTGCCTGCAAGGAAGTAGAATTACCTTATGTAACTGCAGAACCAAACATGCAAGCGGAAGAGGTTGTCTATTCCCCTCCATCCTTTTTGTCTGTGAAGAGTCTGTCTGCTGCTTTGCACTCTCTCCTGCGTGCTGTCTGATTGTGTTGCTAGCTTCAGTTTCAGGCAAGAGGAAGTCAGGTTGTGGGGGAAGGGGGTGAAGCTTGTGTTTCCATAGAGATTACTAGGTATCAGCATTATCAACCCCAGGTCTGACCCAGATTTTTTTCCCCCTCCAATCACAAGTGTTGGTCCCGCCCCCTCCACTGTGTTTTGCTGCAGTCACTTATTTTTTTCAGGGGAAGTAGTGGGAGTGTATTCGGTCCTGCATTGACAGGATGCGCTTCACAAGACCTCTTGCATCCATGCACAGTGGGAGATACCCCCCAAATCCACAATCCTCCTATTTAAAGAGGCCAGGCAATATGGCTAATGCTTTAAGTATTGACCCCCACCCCCCAGTTTCACAGAATCTTGCCACTACCATTCCAGTATTCACAATGAAGGCCTCTGTAACACGCCCTGTGATCCTGTATGCAGACCTTGCCATGCCTGTTTCTTGATAATTAAGTCAGCTTGAGATAATAGGACTATCTGTCTGTGTTTATATGCATGCATTACCTACATATCTCTGTATTCATTAACTTTTCAGACCTAAATACGGACACATGCAAACAGAGGTGTTTTTTTAATTGGTGCATATAGTTTTCCTAACTATTAATTTTGTTCTGTTCTTTTCTTTCTGCAAATCTGCTAAGTAATAATGTTGAACTTTAAGTATTTAAGGTCCTCTTTTTTTTGTCTGGATCATTTTAATGGCATGTAAAATACATTGCCTCAGTTAAATAAAATTAGTTAAATTAAAGCACCGCATTAGTAAAATAAGGTGGACCTAAGGTGGGCTTCTATTTAAACAAATATAGATATCCAATAATTCTGTTAGTGACTAGCATCTGTCACTGTGTGTTCCGCTCATCTAGCTATAGTAGGTTTATTCACCTGGAGGCTCTCCAGATGGTCCGAATGTTTTCAGGGCTTACTGTTATCTAGCATACAGATACACACACAGATATATGTGCATATCGACATGCTTGACAGAAAAGCTAAAATGGGATAGTTAGGACATTAAGACAGAGGTTTTGCGACTCATTGAGTTTTCTATTGTTTTCAACACACTGGTTCTTTGTTGTGGTGCTACTTGGCCATACCTCAGGACTAATTACCCTCTGTAATCGACGTGATTTGTGACATCAGGTATAATCTATTGGGCACACTCATGCTAAAAAAAAAATGCAGAGCTCTTAAATCTAATAAACTAATGGAACTAATCCTTTGATCTAGTCCTCCTTTCTCTCAGCTGTGTTGTTGGGCAGATTTTTAAGGCTCAGAGGTAACGTCTTTCATCACAGTAGACAACTTGACAAGTCAAAAAAGACAAAATGCACAGGTGTATTTAAAGACATTGCTTAACCTTGTGCAAGTTAATAGTTATGGTTTAACTTGCTGGGTTGCATATGAATTAGTTTTTTAATTAAAAAAACAAATTCAAATGTTATATCTGGGTGAACAAAGACTCACATTTTATATTCCTCTAGGCCAAAGGATTAAGAGAGAAAATGTTTGTCAGATCAATAAGCCTGCAGAAATGGGCCAATTATGGGGGAGGAATCATCAATAAGTGAGGCCACAGTTTTAATACAGTTGCAACAAATGCAATGTGAAACATATGAAACACTTTGCTTTTCTAAAGAACTGAATGCCATGTATGGCTATAAGTCTACTTTACACCATTTCATCACCATACCAACCACACTGCACTAATCCACGAATAATCCTCTTTCCCTGAATTGGTGTAAACATGCACAATGCTTCAGTGTAGTCATTGCAGGGGCAGTGCATTAATGCCCCACCCTCCTCTCCCCTAGAGTCCAGTCTGGAGTAATCCAAATCAAAGTGGGAATAAAGTCTTGCTGAAAACACACTGGTAGAGGGAGAAAATGTTATCAACTGCTTCAGAGATTTTGCCTCAGTAACTGTACAGTAAAATATGGAGACATATCCTCTTAAGTTGCCCCCAACCCCATTTAACCATCCTCATTTAAAGCTAGTTGTTACCCTAGTTTCAACACTTTTGCTAAATATGTTGCTGAGTTGAGTGGGACACATACAGTCTGACACGTGGCTTCTGGCTGTGAGTGAATGAATGAGTGAGTGGGAGCTAGGGCTATAATTAGAGGTTGGGTGAAAAGGAGAGAGAGATAGGCACATAGATCTGCCTAGCAACAGTGCAAACACCACTGGAAAGTCGTGTGGGGGATGTGGGTGTGAGAGAGCTGGATGGAGTTCATGCAGACCCACATTATATCTTTCTTAATACATTTATTATTTATTTCGGCATGAATTAAGCAAGCTCTTGTACAAGCTGAGGCATTTAGGTCCCATCACTGAATAATCTGCTGGAATCCCAGATCAAACACAGTCACCAATGACTGTAATCAGCTCTTTGCATCAGTTTACATTGACATGGTGTAATAATTTGGACAATAATGCCACCAAAGGTTCATGACATTAGACTGGAAAATTTCACTTTTTCAGTTAACAAATTTGTGGCTTTTTCCTTTTGGTATGTCTTTTTTTGTTAGTCCACAGCTTGGATATTCATTTTTAATTCGACAACAGTTCCTCTAAATTAGACAAAGGATCCTAAAGGTGCAAGCACACAGTGTGCTCAAATCTTTCAGAACATTGAGTATGTTATTATGATTTGGTGACAGAGTCCCAGTTGGCTGATAATGAGTCTGCCACAGTGTCTTTATGAAACGAGTGACATGATGTACTGTAGCCTGCAATGCATCAGGTTGCTGGGCTGCATGAAAGACAGTGATAAATGCTGCTGTAATGACATTAAAGGTTGTTATTTGTGTTCCACATACAAAACTAACCATGCATCTATAGTTACAACCATGTTTTATTTCTTCTTTACGCATCCCTGTTCACTATATGTTTCATTTTCCCTCCCCCTCTCGGCCCTGCTCTAGTCACATACTGCTAACATACAGCCAGAGTCAAAACAAGGGTAATGGCTGCTTTAGAACAGCTTTATTCTGGTGACTGGCTCTGCATGCATACTCCTTAAGGGCAATGATTTATGACATGAAGAGAGAGACCGTAGCAGCAGGAGCAGAAAGCACTCTGCTGGATTGAATGGTGTACTTGAATGATCCTTTGGCAGGTCCATAAGGGCAGTGTCAGGGAAATATAATGGCAGGGGTGCACTACTGGTCTGAAGATAGGGCTCTTTGTAAGAGTTCCAGTAAGGAATATCTGACTGGAATCGTTTTCTTTACAGGAATCTATCAAAGAAATATCAGCCCAAGAAGAACTCCAAAGAAGAAGAAGAGAGCAAGTAAGTTAAATGATGCTGCATACGAGGTAAAAGGAATGCTGTGAAATTTTGAGGTGGAGAGAAGAGCCACCAATTTTTTAATGAGTAGAAATCACTGGAAACATTTAATAGAAACATATAAAACATAAAGCATCATTTAAATGGGGATTTGTTATGTTTTTTGCTGTAGTCTTGTATATAATTGGCAGATATGAGAGTGGTATCCTCTCATTATCTCTGTATTTAAAAACATTTAACTATTCCTTTTACTTGTTCTCACAGAGGTTGTTTTCTTTCAAAAATGAGCCATGTTTTTGGTAGCCATGTCTTTCCTCTGACTTCATTTCCTGTGCCCCACTAGGTACACCTTCTGTCGAGCCTTCCTAACAACACTGAATGAGTTAAATGATTACGCAGGTCAACACGAAGTTATTTCTGAGAACCTGACATCTCTTATCATCACCGAACTTACGCGCTACCTACAAGAACTCAAGGCTGAGAGAAAATCGGTGAGAGCTTTTGATATCGGATCTTTGGTTATTTTCTTTTTCTCGGTATTTGATTTCTGTTTCTTCTATCCCTCTGTTCCCATGCCATAAAAAACAAACTTTGACTTCAGACAATAGGATATGTTTAAGGAAAACAGACACAATGGGCTTTTTAGCAGTGCTTCCCCTTTGCATGTTCTGTTCTCTATGAACCGAGGTCATCACAGAGTAAATATAGATACACCCAAAGGCTCACCAGAAGAGCAAAACGTGACTGAGTGAGTCCTTTTTATGGAACACAGTCTTCGTCTCTCTGTCATTACACACTTATTCCTTCTTTTAAACCAACTAAATATGGGTACACCACATGCTATTCTTAAACATTTAAATCACTTTTATCATTACCATTATAAAGTGATTAGAAAGAGTGGTGCACTTGCATTGTGTGATGCATAGAAATAAAATCCATACAGGTGGTGGAAGAGCAGAAAGCGAGAGAGAGGATGAGACCTAGCCACCTGGGAAAGTGTTCTGAAAATCTTTCATGAGCTCTTTTGTCTTGGAAGTCCTGCTGGGGGAACTGGAGTGGAAACCCAAAACCCGAGTGCTGCTAAAAGCCTCAGTGACCTTTTTTTAGATTGCGTTTTCATTCGCACAGGCACAGACATCAAGGCTCCTACATTTATGTGGACCACATCATTAGTGATCATAATGAATTTTAAGCTAAGTTTTAGATGGAGATGCTACAGAAAAAAACAGGAATTTCCCATATTTGCAAAGAGAAATCAAACACCCCCAATTCATTTTTTACTTTGGTTTAGCCTGCTTCACACAGCAAAGATCACATACAGACTTCAGATTTGTCTCTTGTTGTAAAGGTTGATTAGAGAGACTCCTGCTGCTCGCAGGCTGCAGAATGTCACTTTGACCCCACTGTTCCTTCTCATCTCTCTGCACAGTTCCTCTTTTTCTACTCTATTTAATTCTTAAATATATCTGTTTGTCCCTTTTTGATCCTTTCTCATCCTTTTTACCCATTCTTTTCTTTAGTCATGTGTCTTAACTAAAGAAGCCTAAAGCAGTATTTCTTCAGTTAGCTAGTACTGGGGGTTCCCCTTCATAGCATAGCCATAAAACAAGTTTTATGGCTATGCTATATCCCCTGTCCAGATCAGATAGTTTGTTCTGTACAGAGGATCATTTCATCTAAATTTATTGGGTTTCTCATGTTTTGTACAGTGTCCTTGTAGAGTAAATTTAACCTGTTAAGCTTCCATTCATTTAAATGATTTTGCATTGAGATTCAAAAGCACATTCATACAACTCCTGAGTACTGGGGTGTGACTTTGGCTTATTTTAAGTGTTGAAAAGCCTGCTCACAAAAGCAAATTTCCAGCTACAGAAAAACATAGCACTACCAGAGAAAGTGATGTATTGGGTGTTGTTTGTAAAGCCCCCAGCTTCCTATCATCCACTTTTTTCCCCTTATTTCTAATCACTACTCAGTGTCCCCTCTGCAGCATTTTGTTTGTGTTAGACAAAGCCGTGTAGGCAGACCCAGACAGTGGGATTAGAGGCTGAAGCTGGCCCCTCCAGGATTTATAGGAAGCTTATTGCGCAGGTAAAAGCCACATTACAAACCCGGAAATGAAAAAAAAAAAAATCCTCATTAAGTTCTCATATGGACTTGTTTTGTAACTTTCTACACTTCCCCTTTGCTGTCTTCTTGAGTGAATCGCTTGCTAAACTCAGCTCGGGGTGGCATAAGAGGTGGCCAGCAATGTTCTCCTAAAAGGTTTAACATAGCAAATCTAGGTGTTTTTACAAAGGTAGAATCACATTTTATATGCTGGAGTAAAGCTGTTGTAAGCACAGTAAGAAATATTTTAAATATTTCACAGTTATGACAACCTACTTTCTTGTTTTTGCATTGCTTAATGTCTTAAAGTGTAATATGAAATGTTGAAGAGGGGGCAGGGTTAATATGGGATGAAGACTCTTTAAGTCTCACTGGACTGTTTGTGCTGAGGAATCATAATAAGGTGTTCAGTCAGCATACTGCTGTCCTTACCGGGTCTCTGACCACAAGGCTTAACTGGCCTCTCTAATGAAGACTGCTGAAGACCCTTAGACTGTGCAAGACTTCCTATAACTCATCATAGGTTCCCTTTTTTATATAAGTATGTGACATATTCAGCCAGGTAGAAAATTTAAAAAAAAAGAAAGACACTAGCTCATTTAGCTGCAAAGACCAGAAAAAATTGCATTGCATTTAGTGGAAAAGCAATAGATATTAGGTGCTTTTGTGCCAGAAAATATCATCCTTGTTGTTCTCGTTGAGGCAGGCAAGAAAGAGAAATCATGGTAAAAACAGTGCATCACTCTGGGCTGTCCTCAAATGCCTTCTTGTGTTGAGTGGAAAAGCAAATAGGAAGGTGAGAGGGAGAATTGATCGTTGGATCTTCCAGTAGTCTCTGCATGCATATATCAATCCAGAATGACTTCAGTATAAACAAACGCTGCAGTACCACAAGGTTTAAACTGTTGCCTAATGGATTCGACATGAGGAGAAACGTCCCAGTGGAGCTTTCATAGGGTTTAATCATCTCTGTCGTCTCTAGAACTCCACACAACTTGTGGCTATTTCCAGTACCTAATGATTATATGCATGCTGACAGCTGTATGAGGTTGCAGGTTCACATTCCTATGACCCAAGTCAAGTCAATGAATGAGTAATATATCATATGCACAGATGTGCATGTGCACATCTTGACTCAAGTGAGCTTAAAGATGCACATGTTAAGCAGTAAAGAGGTTTTCTCTTTTACGTGTCAGAGAATACAGATTTTTACAGTGGATAAGGCAGCTTGTGAGTGCACATCACACTCAGCTCAGCCTGGAAAAGGATGCCAGTAAAAAGAGGCATGTAAGGATCATGGTTGTGAAAACCCAAATCTCTGTCCTTAGATGTCTCGTATCTTTGTCAAGTGCTATGGTACCTGGATGGCATTAGATAGTCTGTGTCGCAGCATGAGGAATTCCTTTATTTATGAAGGATGTGTCACAGTCATGAAAAAGCATGTCTACTTTCCATTATTAAGTGAATATTCAACTTTGATCTTTGATCTCATATTATCTAATCCCACTTTTATTAAACTTTAACCTCCTAAGACCCGAACTCTTTCATGTCATGCATTTTTAATTTCTCTTTGCTATTTGGGCTGATTGGGACCTGATGAATGTAAAAACAAAGAATTACCAGATTTTATTTTATTTTTTACCAGATTTTTGTTTCTGAGAGAAATGAGATCCACATATGAGGATGTTCATTTTAAAATTTAATAGAACAGTGGCAGTATAATGTTCTCGTAAGTGGATATCAGGCCCTTGTAGAGCAAAATTTAGTATTTTGGTCTAGACAACCCAAAATGTGATGTTCACATATGTGGACTCCAGGTCCTAGGAGGTTAAATATGAATGCAGTAAAAGGATGAATTTTGGTTCAAGAATTTTTTAGGCCTTTTTTCTCTCACTTGTTCTGTTAATGGAAATGGCTTGAGGTCACTGAACTGCTCTCAAATGTCACTGCAGTCACATGCTGTTATTGATTAGCATGAATGGAAAAAAGATGACATGCTCATTGAGTTCTGAATGGGCTACGAGGGATATTTGTATCACTAGGGTCTGTTAATTTAAACACTGAGAAACCAGTACGGCAGAGCATCTGCTTTGATCGCTGCATATGTGCCGTTCCAGGTGGCTGATGGCTCTTTTTATTGTGTTTGAAAGTAAAACTGCCCCATTTGTCCCTGTAGTCAGTAAATCTTCATCCTCCAGCAGATCTTGTAAACCTGATGGAGCTGTTTATCGCAGTTTGTTTATCTCCATAGATATTTATGTTTTTTTTTAAAACCAGATGATGTGCATATTTCTTTTTTATAAATGTGGTTATAGAGGTAAATATTTGGTTGAACGAATTCTCCATAGTAACAGTGATGTCATACGGTCTGTGAGCTTGTGTTGTGTGGAGAGGCTTCACATTCACTTACCAATTACCAAGAATTACTTTCAGAGTACATCATTGAAAAGTTGGTGTTATTAAACAGTTACCTGCAGGTCCTGGTTAGCAGATTAAAAAAAAAAAAAAGG